CAACTAAGACTGAAGGACAACAACTTGACTTGGAGCTGATGGGTCCTGGAAAAACACAATGTTCCCCCTTCCCCAATTCCCCAACACTGCTCCCTTCCCAATTCCTCAATAAAATCTTAAATTAATAAATTAATTAAATTAATTTCTATGTTTTAGTATTTTATAAATTCTTTTTCTGTTCCAGTAAGCCTAGTATAGCACTTTCCTCAGGGACTGGGAGTAAATTGGAATCGTAATACTCAAAAGATTGTTAGGACTCTTTTTTTTCACCTGCTGTTTCTTTGTTATCTCATTGGACATCATTTTAGCAGAGTCTAAGACTTTAATTGCACTTTCATCTTCTAAAATGTTCCCTTCTGAAGATGACAGTGTTTCCAAAATTTTTTTCTCTATATCTTTTAGCTGTTTCTTATTAGCTGCAGACTGAAGAATAAGAGCATTTCTTTCCTCTTCTAATTCTGGCCTAAAAAGATAGAAACATTTAGTCTAAATTTGTACTATTTAATCTAAATTCATATCCAAAGACTAGATATCACAATTCTGTAGACATTTAAATAATTTTTGGACATGTAATACAAAGATGACTAATATCTTTATCCTAATATAAGGGGGAAAAGTTACTTCCATTCAAATAATAACTTGAGACATTCAAGCAAAAATAAGCATTAATTGTATAAGTGTAAAATGTGGCAATAACAATACTGTAGTAAGTTTAAGAATATTTTAAGTTTATCGATATGACTCAGCCAATTATGTTAGAATAAGAACTGGAGAAGAAACTCAGAGTATGAAATTTCTTATTTATTCCTTGGCTTTGTCATATTCAGTCTCATTGCATTGTCTCTTCTACAATAGCAGACATGGAAAGAATGATTTGTCATACAACTACTTCTTCAAGCAAAAGACAGAATTGGCACTCAGCATCTTATCAAGATTGTATGAAACTTCAAAATAACATAATTCACTATGTTATAGATTATATTATGATATGGTCTCTCATGAAATTCAAATATTGGAAGTAACAAAAGTATCTCATGGTTACATATTTTCAATTATAGTTTGATGTCATGTAATAGACTACATGATAATGTTATATAAAGCTTCAAGCAAAATCAAAGACTTCCTTCAGAGAGAGGAACAAATCATAGAATACAGCCAAATTAATATAACAGACAGGAACACAAAGGCAAAGAAACAATGGAGACACCAACTATCATAAAACAAAAGATGAAATGTCTATATGAAATCCTCATATATCAATAATCACCCTAAATGTAAATGGACTGAACTCACCAATAAAAAGACACAGAATAGCAAATTGGAACAAAAAACAAAACCCAACCATATGCTTGAAGAAGAAATACATCTCACCTACAAGGACAAATACAAACTCAAAGTGAAAGGGTGGAAAACAATACTCCAAGAAATAGTATGCAGAGAAAATCAGGTGTAGCTATACTTAAATCTGATGAAACAGACTCCGGGATAAAAAAGGTAACAAGAGACAAAGATGGACATTTCATAATGATAAAGGGGACACTACAACAAGAATACATAACACTTATCAATATACATGCTCCCAATCAGGGAGCACCAAAATTTACAAAGCAAATACTAACTGAACTAAAGGAAGAAACTCACAAAAACATAATTATAGTAGGGGACCTAAATATGCCATTAATAGCTATGGCTATATCATCCAAACAGAAAATCAATAAGAAAATATCAGCCTTAAATGACACACTTGACCAAATGGACATAACTGACATTTACAGAGCCTTTCATCCTACAACACCAGACTACACATTCTTTTCTAGTGCACATGGAACATTCTCAAGTGTAGACCAGATGTTGGGAAACAAAATGAGCCTGAACAAATTTTAATTTGAAATCATAACAAGCATATTCTCCAACCACAAGGCTTGAAATTCGAGATCAATTGCAAAAACAAGCAGAAAAAAAACACAAATATGTGGAATTAAACAACATACTACTGAAGAATGACTGGGTCAAAAAAGAAATAAAAGGAGAGATTCAAAAGATACTTACAAACAAATGAGAATGAAGATACATCATATCAAAATTACTGGGACGTGGCAAAGCCGTAGTAAGAAAGAAATTTATATCATTACAGGTCTATCTCAAGAAACAAGAAAAATCCCCAATAGGCACCCTAACATTACATCTTACAGAAAAAGAAGAACAAAAGAAACCCAAAGTAAGCAAAAGGAAAAAAATAATAAAAATTGGAGCACAATGAAGTGAAACAGAGAACAAAAAGACAATAAAAATTCCTAATGCAACAAAGAGCTGGTTCTTTAAAAGATTAATAAAATTAACAAATCCCTGGATAGACTCACTAAGCAAAAAAAAAAAAAAAGACACAAATAAACAAAATCAGAAATGAAAGAAAAGTCATGATGAATACCACAGAAATACAAAGAATCATATGAGAATACTGTGAAGGACTATATAACACTAAATTCAATAACCTAGAAGAAATGTACAAGAAATATATAAACCTTCCCAGGCTGAATCATGAAGAACTGGAAAATCTAAATAGACTGATCAACTGTAAGGAAATTGAAACAAGCATCCAAATCTCCCCAAAAGCAAAAATCCAGGACCAGGTGTCTTCACTAGGGAATTCTACCAAACATTCAAAGAGGATTTAATATCTGTCCTCAAACTCTTCCTAAAAAATTGAAGAAGAGGGAATACTTCCTATTTCATTTTATTAGAACAACATTACCCTGATACCAAAACCTGGTAAGGATAACACAAAAAAGAAACTACAGGCCAATATCTCTGATGAATGCAGATGCAAAAATCCTAAGCAAAATGCAGGCATTGAATACAATGCATTAAAAAGATTATACATCATGATCAAGTAGGGTTCATTCCAGGGGCACAAAGATGGTTCAGCATATACAATTTGATCAATGTTATATGCCACATAAACAAAATAAAAAATAAAAATCATCTGATCCTATCAATAGATGCAGAAAAAGCATTTAACAAGATACAACTTCCATTTATGATTTAAAACACTTAATAAAATTGGTATAGAAGGAAAAGTACCTCAATATAATAAAGGCCATACCCTCAGCTATGACAAACCCTCAGGCAATATCATAGCTAATGGTGAAAAGCTGAAAGCTTTCCCTCTAAGGTCAGGAAACAAGACAGGAATATTCCCTGTCACCACTGTTATTCAACATAGTATTGGAAGTCCTAGCCAGAGAAGTTAGGCAAGAAAAAGAAATAAAAGGCATCCAAATTGGGAATAAAGAAGTCAAATTGTCACTTTTTGCAGATGACATGATCATTTATATAGAAAACCCTAAAGACTTCACTAAGAAAAAAAATTAGAAACAATAAACAAATACAGTAAAATTGCAGGATATAAAATCAATTTACAAAAATCCATCGTGTACCTATATACTAACAATGAAATTTCAGAAAAATAAACGAAAAAAACAATTCCTTTTGCCATTAAAACAAAAAGAATAAAACACCTAGGAATAAACTTAACAAAAGGTATGAAGGACCTACGCACTGAAAACTATGACATTCTTAAAAGAAATTGAAGAAGACACCAAGAAATGAAAAGATATTCTGTCTTCATGGATTGGAAAAATCAACATAGTTAAAATGGCCATATTATCCATAGCAATATATAGATAAATGCAATCCCCATCAAAATACCAATGGCAATCTTTAAACAAATAGAACAAAAAAATCATCAGATTTTTATGGCATCACAAAAGACCCCAAATAGCCACAGCAATCTGCAGAAAAAAGAACAAGGTTGTCACAGCCCCTGACTTCAATTTATACTACAAAGCGACAGTAATCAAAACAGCATGGTCCTGGCAGAAAAACAGACACACAGACCAGTGGAATAGAATTGAAAGCCCAGAAATAAATCCATATGTGTACATGGACAATTTACGACAAAGGATCCAAGAACATACAGTGGAGAGAAGAAATCTTCAACAAATGGTACTGGGAAAATTGGAAAGCTATTACAAAAGAATGAAACTAGACTTCCATCTGTCATCATATACCAAAATTAATTCAAAATGAATCAAAGACCTAAATGTAAAACCTGAAACAATAAATTCCATTGAAGAAAGCATAGGAACTAACCTTATGAACCTTGGGTTCAGAAAGAATTTTAGGACTTTGACCTCAAAGGCAATGGAAGTAAAAATAAAAATAAATAAATGGGACTATATCAAATTAAAAAGCTTTTGTACGGGCCAGCCGAGTGGCTCAGTTGGTTAAGAGCTAGCTTAAGAGTGTGAGTTCTGAGCAACAGGGCCGCCAGTTCAATTCCCACATGGGCCAGTGACATTGCGTCCGAGCTGACAACAGGTGGCAGGACAGTTCAGAAGGTGAGAGCACATGCTCCTAACAAGACTGCCTGTTCGATCATGGGCTATACCCACCCACAACTAAGACTGAGCTTGGTACCTTGAGCTGAGCTGCCACCAGGATTGCTCAGTGGATAGAGCATGGGTTCTTAACAACAAGGCTGCCAGTTCGACTTCTGCATGGGGTGGTGGCTACACCCACCCGCAACTAAGATTGTAACACAACACCTTGAGCTTAGAGGCCATGAGCTATGGACTGGCAGCCAGATGGTGACTGGCGCTCTCTACAATTAAGATTGAAGAACAACAACTTGGCTGGTCCCCCTCCCCAATTCCCTGACACTGTTCCCCTCCCTCAATTCCCCAATTTCTTTTTTTTTCTTAAGCTTTTGTATAGCCAAAAAGAACTGTCAACAAAACAAAGAGGCAACCAACTGAATGAGAGAAGATATTCACGAACAACATCTTCAATAAAGGGTTAATGTCCAAAATATATAAAGAACTCATACAAATCACAAACAAAAAAAACCAAACAATCCAATTAAAAAATGGGCAGAGGAACTGGACACTCCTCCCAAGAAGACATACAAATGGCCAACAGATATATGAAAACACGCTCAACTTCATTAGCTATTAGAGAAATGCAAATCAAAGCCACAATGAAATACCATTTCACACCTATTAGAATGGCTATTATCAACAAGACAAGGGATAACAAGTTTTGGAGAGTCTGTGGAGAAAAAGGAACCCTCATACACTGTTGGTGGGAATGTAAATTGGTGCAGCCACTATAGAAAACAGTATGGAGGCTCCTCAAAAAATTAATAGAACTACCTTATGATCCAGCAATCCTTATTCTGGGTTTCTACCCCAAAATTTGAAAACATTTATCTGTAAAGATATATGTGCCCCTCTGTTCACAGCAGCGTTATTCATGGTGGTCAAGACATGGAAACAACAAAAGTGTCTGTCTTCAATAGATGATTGGGTAAAGAAGGTATGGTACATTATATATAATGGACTATTACTTGGCAATAAGAAAAGACGAAATACTGCCATTTGTGACAACATGGATGGATTTTGAGATTATCATACTAAGCAAAATAAGTCAGAAAAAATAAATCGAGAACCACATGATTTCACTCATATGTGGGATATTAAACTAAAAGCAATAAACGAACAAAACAAACAAAAACTTACAGACATAGACAACAGTTTAGTGGTTAGAGGGTAATGGGGGCGGGGTGAAATATATGGTGATGGAAGGAGAACTGACTCTGGGTGGTGAACACACAATGCAATATTTAGATAATGTATTATAGAATTGTATACTTGAAACCTATATAATTTTAATAACTAATGTCATCCTAATATATTTAATAAAACTGAAAGATTTCCTTCAGGAAACAATTCTTTACTAGTAGCCCTCCTAGGTGTATTTGTTCTCATTTAAAAAATAACATGCTAGTAATGAAAATACACATAAATTATAGAGAAAATAGTAATAATTACCCATAATCTTAGCACCCCTGGGGAATATCATTGTTAACATTTTGGTGTATTCTTTCCCAATCTATTTTTGTATATTGGATATCCATTCATGCATTAACTTTTATTTTACAAAATATTACCCATACTACATATAACATAGTATCCTACCTTTTCGTTCTTATTCTAAGTATTTTCTTATTAACATCCTGTATATATCTTTGCACACATTCGTGATTTTGTTCATAGCATACATAGGTGACATTTTTTGGCTCAAACAATCAGATACAAGTCAGAAATTATGACATGTCACTTGAATCTACCACCCACACTAAAGGCCCTATATAACTTGGTTGATTTATAACTTGTTATAGAATGACTATTTTATAAGTATTTATAATAACAAAATATAAAATTTGACAAGGTTTCAAAATAATCACATAACGAAAGTATTAATGGCCTACAAATATTCCTTTCTAGGCCATCTGTGAGCATTTAAGAAAATACATACCTCTCCTTTGCAACAACAATACCTAGTAACTGATCTTCAAGTCCTTCTGGAGTTATCATGAAATTGAGCAAAGACAGCTTTGTAGCCAGCTCTGGCATATAGTGTGGATTTCTCATTTTTGTGGTGATATAAAATTTGAAATCAAAGGAGTACTCAATAATGACCTCACCAAGCCTGATGCAATCAATGCCACCTATGTTTCCAAAAACAAATGAATAGTAAGCAAGCCAAAGTTACACATACCTCTTTCTGCCCCCTCCCCCTAATGTTAAGGTCTTTCCCAGATTACAAGTAATTTAAAGTGGAATACAGGTGTGACAAAAGTTATATACATAGAGGCAAGTAAGCAGTTATATAGCAGAACATTCATTCTGGGGTAGTATAAGACATTTTCTCTGTTGTCATGGAGCCTTCTAAATCAAGATTCATTTTGATCTTACTTCCTCTATCAATATTCAATCATGATTCCAAAGTTATTTGTTTATGACTAAAGCTTTTAAAAGTACTAGAGTTTGGCAGAGATAAAATGTTTATAAACAGAAAAAAATAAGGTGGGCAATGTCAACCTACAGTCAATGCTGGTCCACATTGACAATTACTATTCACAATATGGACTACTTTATGTAGTCCATGGTCACAGATAAAGGAATTTCAGGCTGGCTTCAACTTCATGTTTTCTACTGAGCAACAGTCTAGAGTCTAGATAACAGTGATTAAGGCAATGAAGGGAAGGCGAGGTATTTATTTTGGAATATCTGATTCAAGTTCATTCCTGATACTTGTTCCAAATTTCCTTTCACACATTTAACAATGGCACAGAAGTTCTGAGTTATTAACACTATTATTAAACTCATGTAGTGGTTTTCTTGCCTCAAAGATAAGCCTCAAAGATAATCCAATCATTTATCAGTTCTACCAACTAATATTAACTGACTTCTACCTTGTTTAAAAGTTTGCCTGAGTAGTAAAGGCTCCAAAGATGGATCCAGTTCTTCACCAACATTTTCTAATAGAAGCGGAGTTCCAAACTGAATACAGTTTTCCAGTGTTCTCATATAGTCTGAATCTGATAGCTTAATAACACTTAGCTGATTTTCTTTCTCAGAGTTTTTGATCCACTTATTGGCTTGACCCTGGGGGTCAATCATTAAGGGCCTAGAATATAAAAAGAAAAATTCTGAGAGGAATAAATAGATATTGAGATTCCTTTAAAATTATGTAATTTAAATAATAAATATCATCACCAATCTGACAAATACAATGTGTTTCACATACAAGGATTAATCTTCACAAAAGTCCTGTGAGAAAAAGTGAAAAGGAGTCTTATTCTATTTATTTATTTACTTGAAATGAAAATATTTAGTCTCAGGGAGTGCTTTGCCGAGGGCTCCATGGTTACAAAATTAGTTCAATGTCAGAAGTAGGATCTTGTGAACCTGTAAGCTGTGCTCTTTCCAATATAACACATTCTCTTCAAGATAATTTTAATACATGACATCTGTTAGCATCATATGAACAATACTTCTATTATTTGATAAAAATTGAAAGTAAGAGATCTACTAGCCTATAATGGGTTTCCTTAGGTTATGAGTAGTCATAAACTAAGTCGTCAAGTTTAGTCTGGTATATATTTGAGATCTATTTAGGAATTTTTTTCTGTGTAAGTATAGTAAGACTGTGTTCAAGAACATATAATTCATGGTTTCAGATATCACAGCAAACAGAGGAAATGTATTCTGGAAATGAGAAAGTTATTTTATATACAACTTGCTTAGTAATTAGACTAGATGCATCAAGATTCTATTCAAAGAGACTTGTTTTCTTCCTTATACATACTTATTATTGGAAAAATACAGCATTTGTTCTTTCCATTGCAAAAAGTAAGATTTTCTGTAAATTGACATTTTAATGCTAATCAGTGTTCTTGGGAATGCCTACATCAATGTTCTCAGTAACACAATAATTAGAGATTCTTTATTATTCTAAAAGAAATCCAAAAAAAATGGATGGATCTTGAGATTATTATGCTAAGCGAAATAAGTCACACAGAAAAAGTTAAGAACCATATGATTTCACTGATATGTGAGATATAAAACTGAAAGCAACAAAGGAACAAGACAAACAAAGAAACAAAAGCTCATAGACACAGACAATAGTTTAGTGGTTACCAGAGGGTAAGGGGGAGGGGGTTAGATGAGAGTAAATGAGGTCAAATATATGGTGATGGAAAGAGAACTGACTCTGGGTGGCGAACACAGAATGTGATATATAGATGATTTGTTACAGAATTGTACACTTGAAACCTATGTAATTTTACTAACCATTGTTGCCCCAATAAATTTTAATTAAAAAAAGAAGAAAGAAATACCACTCCTACTTAATACAAACTTACATAAATATTACAAATACAATTGGAAAATTGAGTTGTTGTGTCCATCAGAGAGAGAGAAGACTGTGCCATGGTATTTGTATTCCAGTGTACCAAGTGTGGGTATGAAAATAATTCTAGTCTACATTTCAGATCCTTGGGAAGTCTGAAGAAAAAAAGCATTATTTGTCTATGCTTCTGACAGAGGTAGTAATTTGGGGGAAAACAAAGCTTTACTGTTAAGTCACCAGATTGATGTGTTAATAAACAATAGGAAAGCAGCACAGTAAGTATTTTCACCATGGGTAAAAAGTAAGCAAAGCCAGAATTTGAGATACAGACACTAAATGAGGTATTTGAAGATGGTAATTATAAAAAACTAACATTTATTGAGAAATTATCATGTCCTAAGCACTTTCTTACAACATTCCTATGAGATAACAGTTATTACTATCCTCATTTATTGATGGGGCACCTGAGGCATTGAGAGATCAAGTAAGTTACCAAAATCTCAAGATAGAAAGTGATAGAGAAAAACTTGAATCCAAATATCCTGACACCAGAGTTTGCATTGCTCTCAACCACTGCACAACATTAGACACAAACAAACCTCTAGAAACTATAAGCAACCAAAACAAGTATTGATTACTTATAAACTATGGTTCCAGCAGCATGACTGGCTAAATAACCTTGAAAATCCTTCAGCCACTTAGTACTGGTGAATAAAATATGACATTTTTTTAAATACACAGGTAACATGTATTGAAGAGATTTATACATACATACATCATACATACATACATACATACAGAAAAACACAGATGACAGAAACACAGACAAAACTGAATTCCAGAAAAGTAAGTGCATGAGCTGAAATGACAACTAGCCTTGGGAAGTTATCAGTTCTAAGGGCTTAGGGGCTCCTTGAGTCCATATGTGGCAAGAAACTGAAATTGAGACCCCTGTATGAAGCTTAAACCCACAAAAGGATTAATGAAATCATAGATAGAAAAATATCCAACTCTATGCATAAGGAGACAAGAAGAAAGTATATTGATTCCAGCTGGTAAAAAGTCCCCTGAGAATCTATAACCATGAGTATACATTTTATGTATGTGTAGGATGCAAGTTTATACTAGCTACATAACCCAGGAAACTCCAACCTGGAAAATTAATATATACTGGTCTAATAATATGCCTGGGAATCCTGGAGGAAGTAGGAACAAAACACACATTGCAGCTGGAGCAGAGCAAAAGAAAAACTTAACCCTGGGGCATGTGAGACGGGGGGGAACAGTCTTGGGCTAAAAACATTATACTTTTTTTAAGAAAAAATATTTTATTAAAATATAGCTAACTTACAATATTCTATTAGTTTCAGGTCCACATCATAGTTATTCAACATTTATATACCTAAGGAAATGATCACCATAGTAAGTCTAGCAACCATCTGACACTGTACCATGCTATCACAATATTATTGACTATATTCCCTATGTTGTACATTATATCCTCATGACTTATTTGTTTTATACCTGAATTCTTATTCTCATTCTCCTTTTTGCCATTTTAAATTTGCAACTATAGTTGACATTCAATATTATTTTATATTAATTTCAGGTGTACAGCATTGTGGTTAGACATTTATATAATTTAAGAAGTGATCCCCCAACTAGTGCTCACCCGGCACTATACATAGTTATTACCATATTATTGACTATATTCCCTATGCTTTACTTTATATTCCCCATGACTATTTTGTAACTACCAATTTGTACTTCCTAATGTCTTCACCTTTTTCACCCTGTCCCCCAGCCCTCCTCCAATCTATCACTCTGATAAATCTAGTATCTATCTGACCTTATAGTTATTGCAATATTATTGCTTATATTCCTATGCTATACCCTACATCCCTATGACTACTTTGTAACAACCAATTTGTATTTCTTTTTTTTTTTTAAGATTGTTATTGGGGAATTGGGGGAAGGGGAACAGACAAGTTTCTATCCTTTTGTTCTTCAGTCTAGTTGTGGATGATGTTGCTTCACTGGCCCAAACTGGCACCATCATTGCGCTTTTCCCAGGTGAGGCAGATCAGTCGCCGGCTTCTGGACAGCTGCTCACAGCAGCTGCTGGCCGCTCCCGCTGGCTGCTGGCTACACACCATAGCCCATGGCAAGCCACTGCAGCAGGGGATGCAGCCTACCCTGACGCTGGCGACTCACGGCAGCCCAGCTCCAGGTTGAGCTGTTGTTCAGCATCTTAGCTGTGGAGGGCAGTGTCACTGGCCCTCATATGTGGGATCCGAACCGGGGCTCTCTGGCGTCCCAAGCCAGCTCTTAACCAATGCGCCACTCGGTTGGCCCCCAATTTGTATTTCTTAATCCCTTACCTTTTTCATGCACACCCAACCCCACTCCCATATGGCCAGCCCCACTGCAGCCTATGTCATCACTGGCAACTCACGGCAGCCCAGCTCCAGGTCAAGCTGTTGCTCACCATCTTAGCTGTAGAGGGTGCAGTGTCACTGGCCCTCATGTGGGATTTGAACCGGGGCCCTGCTGCTCAGAGCTGGCACCCCAATCCAACTCTTAACCAATGTACCACTCATCCGGCCCCCTCTGCCCATTTTTTAACTGGATAGTTTGTTTTTTTGTTTTTGATTTGTATGAGTTCTTTATATATTTTGGACATTAACCCTTTATCGGAGGTGTTGTTCGTGAATACCCTCCTCTTATTCAGTTGGTTGCCTCTTTGTTTTGTTCACAGTTTCGTTTGCTGTGCAGGAGCTTTTTAATTTGATATAGTCCCATTCATTTATTTTTACTTTTACTTCCCTTGCCTTTGAGGTCAAATTCATAAAATCCTCTCTGAACCCAATGTCCATTAAGTTTAGTAACTACACTTTCTTCAATGCAGTTTATTGTTTCAGGTTTTATATTTAGGTCTTTGATCCATTTTGAGTTAATTTTGCAACATGATGACAGATAGCAGTCTAATTTCATTCTTTTGCATGTAGCTTTCCAATTTTCCCAGCACCATTTGTTGAAGATGCTTTTCTCCATTGTATGTTTTTGGCTCCTTAGTTGAAAATTATTTCCCCATATATATGTGGGCTTATTTCTGGGTTCTCAGTTCTGTTCCATTGGTCTGTGTGTCTGTTTTTCTGCCAATACCATGTTTTTTTATTATTGTTGCTTTATAGAATAAGTTGAAGTTAAAATTAGATAACAACGTGACTAAATAACCATTTATAGGAAACTATTTCTCAGATGAGAGTAATTTCCCAAGTTTTTCAAGGTAATATAAATGAAAAGATAACAATAAAACCATTTGTTAAGTTCATATAGTATCACACTATTGATGATAGCAATTAAATAAGATATCCACAAAATTGCACAAATTATCAAGCTATATAGTATGTTGAAAATGGATAGAAATACCTAGTTAAATTAAATACACTAAACAGCCATAAGCTGGAAACATCCCAGGTGTCCTTCAATAGAGAATGCATAAACAGTGATATATTTATAAAATGGAATACTATTCAGCAACAAAAAATAGGAACATTATGTATGCTGTGTGGAAGAAGCCTTGCACAAAAGAGCACATACAATATGATCAGTTTATATGAAGTTCTAGAATAGGCAAAACTAACCTATGGTGGAAAATAATCAGAATAATAATTTCCTACATTGGGGTGAGGGTGGGGATTTACTGGGAAGAGACATAAGAGAATTTCCTTGGAGTTACTCATGTTCTGTATCTTGACAGAGGTTTGGGTTGCACAAGTGTATACTTTTGTATACACTTTTACAAGAACTCATGGAATGGTGTTCTTAAATTTTGTGTATTTCATTGTATGTACATTTTACCTCAAAAGGAAACAAGCAAACAAATATTTAATTTTAATTAATGCTATGCATGCTGAAGTATTGGGGGGAAGTATATCCATGTCTGCAACTTATGTTGAAATGCATAAAAAAGAATGAGTTGATGAGTAAATAGAGGGATGAATAAATACTTGATACAGCAGGAGAATAATAAAATGTTAATCTCAGGATCTAGGATGTGGTAGCTTTATGGGTGCTTACTTTATATTTCTTCCAACTTTAAAAACTTTCAAATAAAGTCATTGAAATAAATATACTTTATGTTCCTTACCAACGCCTGGAGTTATTAACAATCACTCCATTATCTATGGAGAAAGCATCTGTTGGTAATCCAGCAATATTCCAAGCTCTAATTTTTATGGGATCACCCAGAGTCTTACTCAGTGAGAACTCCTCTGAACATGGGATTTTTTTCTCCTGTAAGAAATAAACAAATAGCTGATGTTTTCTTTCATCTTGCTGATTGAAATATTTTAAATATTAAAATATTGATTTGTCATTAGATATCATTTAATAACTCTAAGGAACAGGAAAAAAAAAACCTGAATTGCAAGTTGGACTATCACAGGGATATAAAGTACAGCATAGGGAATATAGTCAATAATATTATAATAACTATGTATGGTTTCAAGTGGGCACTACACTTACTTTATATCACTTTATAAGTTACATAAATCTCTAACCATTATGCTGTACACCTGAAACTAATATTGAATGCAACTGTAATTGAAAAATAAAAACATTTTTAAAATAAAGTAAAAAATAAAATATATTAGAAAAAGAAACAAAAGAAAGTTGGACTATAGAATATTTTACTTATCAAACAAGAATAAAAAAAAATAAAGACCCCATATTTTCAGTTATTTCTTCCCTTCTTTATCCTTATTATCTTTCCCCCCAAAATACTCCAACACACACTGTGACTGCTCTAAAAAGAAAATTATGAAATATAAAACCATTACCTTGCACAACATGCTCCAACTTTCTGTACATGTTTGTCGAAAACCAGAAGTGAAAGCACCAAGGTAGGCTATTACTCCTGCTGATACTAAGACATCACCAGTCAAATTTTCATATGCTATCTGAAGGTCATCTGCAGCTTGAGACCACCTGTGAGATAAACCAAAGGCAAAATACCTCAGAGAATGATGGAAGACAGTAATTGAAAGAGCAGGGAGCTTGTAGTCCAAATACTATAACAAATAGATCCTTTCTAGCTCTAACATGCTATAATACATATCTATGTTATACGAATGACAATCCACCTTTCATTATTAGAATGTTAGGCATTTTTTTACAAGGCCGGGGCGTTTCAGAATAAGCAAAAACAAAAACAAAAAACACCAGCAATTTGTCTAATAATTTTCTTCGGGCTAATTTGGTCTAGTGGCTCTGCTGTTTGGTTCAGTATTTATTGTTAGTCTGTAAAACGTAGAAACATTTGCAACTCATTATCTAAAATTACATTTAAGTTGTATAAAAGCTGATATACTATTGATAGGGCTGATGTTTTTTCTATTTAAAGAAACTTTTACAATAAAAACACATTCCGAAACCATCTAATCTGTACTATAAAGCCAAAGGCATATTACCTTATCATGCTATTCATTCAACAGATATAATCAATAAATGAGATAGGTCCTAGCCAGTATAAATAGATTTGAATAAAACTTTGTTGGCTTTGTTAGACATCAAGCCAACTATATCTTCTTTGAAACAAATTTCAACAAAGTAAGCCATACATCCATTACATACAACTGTTACAAAAAAATTTTGACATACATTACATATAAAATTGGAAAGAATTGTACAATGATCATCCACATACTCACCATTTAGATTAAAAATGATCATTTGCCTTATTTGCTTCTCTCTCTCTTAAACATTTGAAAGCAACTTGGAAAAAAAACATCCTTAGCATTGATATTCTTTTTGGAGAAGCCTGGCCAGGTGCCTTGTAGAATGTTCCACTTTTTCAACCAGCCATTTTCATATCAGTAATCATAATAAATACCCAAAGAAAGTCACATAATCAAGCCCAACATTCTTAAATATTGTTCAAATTAGCAGAAATCTGACCTTGATTTTTCTCCACCTAGTCCTCCAATTAGTTTTGAGGCTCTTTCAAGTTTCTTAGCACAAAGTTCCACCTGGTCTTCTAAACGAGCCTTTTCCTCAGTCTTCTCAGTAAATATTTTTTGTAAATTTTCCAAATGATGTTCAACATCTTCCAATTCTGCTCTCTTCTGATTCAAAAGCTCCATTGTCTCAGCTAAGGACTTCTGAGCTTCTGTTAAGCGGGCTTTCTTAGGAGCCACTACCTGTTTGGGAACCATATATGCAGCTGTGAGGTGTACTCTGTAAAACTGACATCTATATAATTTTTTATAAATATTATGAATTAAAAATGTTTATTATTATACCTACACTTATTACTTATAATAATAAATTATACAAAACAAGCATTTCACCTTAAGTTTTACATACTTTTATATACAGATAAATTAAAATATATTTATATGTCTTATAAAATATAGAAATTCTGAACTAGCAAACTGTCATCTATAAAACAGATAAATTATTCTGGACTAACAAAAAGTTATAATATGTAGCAAAAATGGTACAACAATATAGCAAAATGTCTCAAAGTAAGAAGAAGTTGCCATTCAACTCTTGTCAAAAAAAAAAAAGAGAACATGAAAGCACTCACTTAGTGCATGGCCTAAAGGAAGCGCTCAGAGAAGGTCGCCAGGATTATCATAACCTAGCTATGGCAGGGCCCCATTTTCTGTCTCCAAGTGGTTACTTGGTCATTTATGGGTAACAATCAGGAGGTAGGGGTTATGCAAGTTGCTCCATTAAGGGGAAAAAGTGGCTTGAATCCAACCAGTCCCTGTGCTCCTGGAGCTGCGTCATCTTCTCAGACACCATGGTTGCCCACTGTGGGCATCTTTTTAAGTGGAGGCCCTGAGATTAGCTAGCTCTGCCACCCTTAGTGTTATCTGGGAGAGGAATAAAGCTTGGCCCTCCTGCCAAGTTTTACTAAAGTGAGGATGGTTTTACGTGGTACCCTCTTTCCCTGGGTGCCTCTAGTTTTACCAGTCTCCCTGTCCTCCCCCTTCCACCACCATCCTGCCAGCTACAATGAAGGTAATTCAAAGTTCTTGACCAAAGAGGCGTGAAATCTCCAAGCAGATGTAACCTGGTCCAGGATAGCTATTCCCTCACACCGCATGAGAGCAGGGACCCACAGTGCAGGGTAAGGATGGAGGGCACCTCTCAGGTCTCTTCTCTTCCTCTTCCACTTCTTCCTCTTCCTCTTCCCTTCCCTTCCCCTCCCTCTCCCCCTCCCTTCTCTCCTCTCTCTCTCTCTCTCTCTCTCTCTCTCTCTCTCTCTCTCTCTCTCTCTCCCCCCCCCTCCCTCTCTCTCTCTGTTTCTCTCTCTCTCCACTTCCTTTCAATCCCTCAGTCTAGTGCCTTTAGCCCCTCTCTCAGGAAAGTCCACTCTTTCCCATAAGACAAAAAGGTTCTGAGTCCCCTCCTGGAACCTGGAGCCTCCGGTTTGAGGCAGATGACCTTTTTTGGGCCTCAGCACCAGGAAAGGGGGTGGGGCTCAAGTTCCAGTAGTTGGAGGGAGGGCACCAGCTCTACACCTGCCACATCTGCCACCTGCCCAGTAGGGCTGCAGGCTGGTCCTCATGAGTCTAGAAGCAGCACATGGAGCCAGGCCAGCATCACCCCTCTCTGGGAGATGTCACATTTTGCAATGTGGAAAGAATATTTTCTTCATTCTCTTTGTGAAATAAAACTCCAGCATTATTGGGCTAAGAAGCACTTGAGTCTTCCCTGGACCTGGCTTTGGCTCTAAGTGAGAACACATTGGCTGAAATGGTACTGTATCTGCTTGCCATCTGGCTGGGTGGCCCAGCTTATGTTAAATTATATGCTTTTTATTCCACAAAGCTATTCGTAGTTAATGGGTTTTCAGTTTTTCCCCTCCACTATTATTAATGACAATCTGTCACTAACTTACAGTCCGTATACTGAGCAAGTCTAGGAAAGATGAAAAGTCATCTTTGTCCGTCAGTAATGTAGAAGAAAAAAATAGTAATAAAAAGTAAATAAAAAATAAAAAAAGAGAACATGTAACAGGAATTATAAATGTTTAAAAGACATGAATGTGCTTTTTTTTATTGTTGTTTTGTTTTATTTTTTTGGCATTTCCAAGTCTGTGATCTTCCCAGTCAGCTGAGACATACATCTGCCTTGGAGTGTTTAAGAGTGATAGAAACACAAAGAAAAAGAAAGGCTGGATGTTTAGTTTTCAAAATTCAAAATTGAATTTTACTCAACTCATCTTGATAGTGCACACTTTAAGAGAAAAAGGATGTTCTAAAGTTCTCATTTTATTATGCTCATTAGTATATCAAGAACAGGATTTGCAACTTTATCATTGAGTGTACTATAAGCTTTTGGTAGAAGATGACCAATGAGAGTATTTGCCAGTTTGAAAGAAGACAGACCTAAGTCTTCTGCCATTAATGAAGGTGAAGGCAAAGAGGGAAGAGGGTGGCAAGGTATCAGACATTGAATGTCCCACTTTCTCTACCCTGGGCTGAAATCCTGAAGGAAGGAATATGTTAAATACAGAGGATGCCAAAAAAAGTATACACATTTTAAGAAAGGAAAGCTTTATTAAAATTGTAATACTCAATATATACCAATAACAAAAGATGAATACAAGTCACATTTGACTTCTGGAACTACAAGAGATGCTCAAAGCGGTTACCATCAGCATCCAGACACGTCTGATTACGGCGAACTACTGCTTGAGCAACGTTGACCAAAGTGTCCGCTTTATACATTTTTTTGGCACACTCGGTAGATAGAAAGCAGGAAGCTCCACTTTCTGCTTCTGACTTTGGAGGAAACATTTCTGGATACCTCCTTTCAACCCTTCCATAACAACATAGGGAAGCTGCATCAGAATTAAAATGACAGTGTGGAAGTGTAGAATGGGGAGTCAGGGAAGAACCTGAATGTCTTGGCTTATCTGCTTTATAGAAAGGATCCAGAAGATTCCACATGCCTTGTGGGACATGTGGAAATTAGCTAAGTTGAGAGCTCATAGACCTGTTATGAGACTACTGTGGGGAGGGACAAGATATTCAATGGAAGGACATCCCAGAGAAAATTTATTTTATTTCTTTAACAGGTATAGACATGTCTGTTTCCCTAGGGCTCACAATCAGAGTCCCTACCTCTCCACAGGCACATGTACCTTATTAGGAATATCTTCCCAATTGTTACAGCCTGATCATTCATTCTATACTTTATTGTTCTTTTTTTTTTATTTTAAGATTTTATTGGGAATTGGGGGAGGGGAACAGTGCTGGGGAATCGGGGAACGGACAAATTGTTGTCCTTTTGTTCTTTGGTCTAGTTGTGGCGGACGTTGCTTCACTGGCCCATGTTGGTATTATCATTGCACTCTTCCCGGGTGAGGCAGATCGGTTGCTGGCCTCTGGATGGCTGCTCACAGCGGCTCTTGGCAGCTCACACCGGCTGCCAGCCGCTCACACTGTCTGCTGGCCACACATGGTAGCTTATGGCAGCTGACTGCAGCAGGGGCTGCAGCCTATGCCGTCACCGGTGACTCACGGCAGCCCAGCTCCAGGTTGAGCTGATGTTCACCATCTTAGTTGTAGAGGGCAGTGTCACTAACCTCATGTGGGATCCAAACCGGGGCCCTGCTGCTCAGAGCTGGCGTCCCAAGCCAGCTCTTAACCAACGTGCCACTTGGCCAGCCCATATATTCTATTGTTATAAACACATGCTAACATGTATTTTGATCTACCTTTTAATTAATAGTTCCTGCTTCCCTGGGTAGAATTCTACAAGCTACAGAAGGTAAGGCCAGTGTTTCCCTGGTCCTTTGCAAAATGCTCTTAACTATTCTCTGGTCTCCCAGGAATTTGGCCCCAGTGGGTACTCCAAAAAGGTTCCCGCTCAATGCATGTCATCGCTTCAGGGGATTCTTCCATCCTCTACCTCTTAATCCTACTGGATCTTCTTACTTCTGACCCTTTCAATCAATTTTTAAATCTGCCACTTTGCCCTTGGTATTCTGAATTTTCCTTTGCTTCTGTCCTCTCCTCATCAAATTCTAATTCTCTTTTGCCCTGGGTCCCTATATAGATAGATAGATAGATAGATAGATAGATAGATAGATAGATAGATAGATAGATAGATGAGTCTGGCCAATTCCAGTGATAATCCCTGCTCCCATAGCACTACCACTAGCAAGTATTCTCTTCATCCACTAGATACTTAGTCAATACCTGATGTTTATACTGCAGCAGGACAAAGTTTTTCTGGTTGTACTTTTAGAAAAGCCTTAACTAGTAAATATATGCATAGATTTTAATTTCTAGGAGTATTTCAATAGAAAATGAATTTGCTGATCCTTAAAATACCTTTGCAACTCTGTCATATACTTCCATAGCCATGATCCATTTACACAGACCCTCAGCTGCAGAAGAAGCTTTAGCAACCTTAGGAGGGTCAAATTCAGGGTTTGTTAAGTATTCACCACGAATCTTCTGCATAACAGTCACCTAAACAACAAAGATTTAGATCTGAAAATTTCAACATATATCGCACAATCATAAGTTGAAAAAATAATCATACATAGTAAAAAAAAATTATATAAAAAAGTTATGTTGTCTTTAAAAACCAAAGTCAGTACTTTAAGATAATTTTAAAATAAGCATAATTGTAGCAGAAACACAAGTTATACATGAGCAAAATATGCAAACTTATTACAGATATTGAAGCAAAATGTTTCTTCTAAAAAAAGGCTTGCAGATTGAGAAAACATGGAAACAAGGGAAAAGAACAATTAAATATTAATAAATAAATAAAACTGTATGGAAAAGCATGCATTACACTTCTTATCTCACATAAATTTGTATATAATTTATTAATAAACTATTATAAGAAGACAGAGAACTCTTTTATGTCAATAATACACTCAAACAGTAATTTATTAAGTGACTTTCAATGGTCTGAAAGAGGAATGGGTCTACGCATTATGAGAATTCATAATATGGTCATCAATAAATAGAGTATTCCTTTATTTATTATTTTAATTCCAAAATAAAGTATCTTGCTATGTTTTATATAATATTACATAATGTTAAAGATCTTATGCATCTTGGCAAAGTTACATTTACAGAAAAAAATCTAATGAAACTCACTGGAATATTGTCCTTGTCATATTCTCTCAAATCTCTTAAGAAATTCATATCTCCCAGAAGTTTTTTGCTGGGTCCCCAGTAATCAAATACCTATAAATAAAATGTATGGAATCTTATTAAATGTACAATTAAAGATGCTTGCTATAAAATTTTTCTTCTTGAAGTTTAAGATATATTTTCCAGAGAAACTATATACTTTCAAACTATCAACTTACATCTTCTTGGAAACGAAGACACTCCTCTCCCTGAGAACATGTTTTACATATCAAATATTTAAAATATGAACATGAACTTATATATTAAATTTATTATAAAAAAGTAAATATTGAAAGAAAAATTTTATGATTATTTCTCTTTAAAAAACAAGAAAAGCAACTAGCATAAACACCATCACAATTTCATATAAGAAAAAATATTTTTATTATTTCAACTTTTATTTTTCTTTATTCTTAACTCTTTCAAACCAGAAAGGTAGTGTGCTACAGACTGAAAATTTGTGTTTTCCCTTCCCGTTCTTCAAGTTCATATGTTAAAAACTAATCCCCAACGTAATAGTATTTGGAGGCGGGGTCTTTGGGTGGTGATTAGGTCATGAATGAGATTAGTAACCTTTTAAAAGAGACCTCACAGAGCTCCCTCTCTCTTCTGCCTTGTGAGGACACAGAAAAAAAAAAGACAGTAGTCTATAAGCCAGGAAGCGAACTCTTACCAGACACGGAATTTACTGGAACCTTGACTTGGACTTCCCAGGCTCCAGAACTATGAGAAATAAATTTCTATTGTTTATAAGCCACCCTGTGTATGTAATTTGTTATAGCAGCCCAAATGGACTAAGACAGGTAGCAAACATTTTTCTTATAAACAACCTCCTCACCAACCTAGGCTCCCCAAGTGAAAAAAAGAAGAGAAAGCAGATATACAAAGATTACACATTGATATGTCAGTTAAAAGATAAAGCACATACTTGTGCTAGTGAAAGTTGTCAAATAATTAGCTAATCATTCTTTTTCCTTCTTCCAGAAGCCTGATAGTGGTGTGTGTGTGGTGTGTGTGTGTGTGTGTGTGTGTGTGTGTGTGTGTGTAAATGAGAATAACTTGGTAAGGAAAGAGCCTATTCATTTTCTTCATTATCTCAATGAATAATAGAATGACCAAAAAAAATCCCAATTTTCCAATTCAGAGATTCAAACCCAGGTATTGTAAAACCTGAAAAGAAAATAAGTGTATAACTTTAGTTTAGGATGGATGTTATGCCTTCCTTTTTAGCCTTGAATAATAATTATATATAACAGCTAATATTTATTGTGAGCTTACTATTTATGAGGCTTTATACATAGAGCTTTATATGTATTAACTAATCTAATCCTCACATTAACTTTGTGAGGCAGGTACTATATAATAACCCTCTTTTTTACAGAGTTCCACAGGTGTTAAGCATCTTGCCCAACATCACACTGCTAGCAGGATTGGGATTTCTGAAGACAGGTGTTCTGGCTCCAGAGCACATGATTTTAACAACTTCATTATACTGTAACAAAGCAGAATTTTTGAATGCTCAGAAGCAACACCTATGTGATTATATATCACACTCATGAGACTCCTAGCTGGAAAAGTATAGGAATCTCAGTGTTCATTTTGTCCCTATGATAGTGGGAAATCCTGCATAGACAGAAATGGAGAGGGAATCAATTGGAACCATATTTTTCTGGTGCTATACTGCCTTAGCTTTACCCCAGAATAAATATAGACAGTGTTTTATGTAGTTTATCCTGAGCCCATTCAATATGGAAAACAATGTTTCCTTCCTAGAGTGGGTACTGTTGATATTTAATTTGATAATAGTTGCTTTAAAGTGTTCTATACATTCGTGAATATGATTTAAAATTGTGTCTAGTTATTACCTTGCCTCCAGTTCCTGAAGGATCTGAAATTTTTTCTGGTTTTATATCTTTCATGACACAAATAGCAGCCATAACTAGTTTAACACCAGATGGAGGATTCTTCATTGATTTCACAATTGTAATGTCAGCTGGCTATATCAAAAGAAAACAGGATATCTTCAGAATAGTTTATTTCTAAATAATGAATTTTTAAAGTAATGTTGGAGATAAGCTGTGGGGTTCTGGGAATAGTTCTCCCACAATGAGGCCGAAAGCTACCCACAATGAGACAGACGATGAAAAGAAGTACACAGAGACCTGAGAGTGGAGGGACTTTTGCCCTATGCAAAGACCTCAAGGGTCGTCCACATCTTCCTTTTACTGAGGGAGACAGACATAGCCCTATATTGAATTTGCATAGCAAGTGGATGTGTGGGGTAAGCAATCAGTACATAGGGAACTTCCCTGTTCCATCCTGACTCCTGCTACGTCTCTATTATCTATCTTCGGCCTGCGCACGTACTGTTCCTTTCCTAGCTAGTCCTTGAGCCGTTGCCAGCTGCCTTCGGCTGACATGTACCCAAGTTGCTATCCTGCTCTGACCTTTCAGAGCAGGTGCCCTACAATATTGCAATACAGTGCTGTGTCCCTACAACAAGCATTGATTTTCATTTGAAATTGTAATTGATTTTTGCTTTGCATGGTTATGAAAAAATTAATAAAAGAGAATTGAGCACAGATTAAGGCCAATGATTCTCTAAGATTGTGGAGATCATAGATCCTTGTAAGAATATGAAGACAGCTATGAACCCTCCAGAAAATATGTTTTTGCACATAAACACAAAATTGAATTTAATCACATACCAATTAAGAAAGAAGGCAAAAAATGGGGACTGGGATTCCCTAGTCAACAAAAGCTATCTATCTCTCCTGCTCTGTTTGGTGAGGTTGTTCTGGTCTTGCCTAAAGACCCCGTAAAAAGTTATGTACAGCACAGTGCAATTCAGGCAAATGTCTTACATCTCTGTATGGGAAATGATCTGTAAGTTTTTCTATACATGCATGTTCAGGAGGCTGCAAAAGGGTAGCTTCACACTCTATTTGACATATGCCTCCTTGTCCATGTACAGAACCACTTTGGCCTCTTGGAAACTGTTCCATTTTCATTGGAATAATCTGAATGAAAACTGTATTGGTTTGTCAGAAAAGTCATGACATATTTTTTCTATGTTTTTCATTGCAAAAATACGTCATGACTTTTCCAACAACCCAATAAATAATATATGAAAAGCAAAAGTATAAGACTGTATATCAAAAAGGAACTGTTAAGAGTTAAGTTTCATTTGACTGGACAAAAACAATATAATACCATGCACTGAAATAGAATTATACCTAATTAACGAAGGACCTGCACACAATTTTTCTTTGTTGATGAAACACAGGTCGCTAACTCAAACACTTGCCTTTAGTGTATCCAGTGCAGACAGAGCTGCTTCCAAGGCAGGAATCGCTTCAGCTAGGTCACTTTCACACTCATTTTTCAGAAGTTGGGCTTCTTCAGCCTTTCCACTGGCTATCTCTTCATCTAGTTTCACAAACTTTCTTTTTGCTTCCACTTGAGCAGACTCTATCTCAATAATCTAAAGAAAAGAAAGAAAAAATAAAGACATTTCCTCAAATATCCTATTGCTTTCTCCATCCTAGAGCCAAAAGAATGTTTGAAAAGAGGGAATCCAACATGCCATGTTTTAAGCATAGACAAGCCAAAGGTAAAATGAGGAGAAAAGCAAATACATGTGACCTATGTGGTAATGGGCTTCCTACCTCCCTTCAAAAAAACAGAAACCACATGGCACCTGAAAAGATGGCCAATCAATAGAAAAGGGTAAAGTCCCTAATATCCAATGGCAAAAATGGGGACTTATTTTCAAGGCTAATTTTACACATTTCAATTGTCTTCTTACATCAATCCAAAAAAGAAGTTCAGGATACTCTACCTGCATCATATGTGCATTTTCAATTTTAGCTTCCTCCAATTTGGGCTGTAATTGAACAAGCTCCATTTTCATTTCACCAACCTAAATAGACAGTTCATTATTAAGTTTTCATAGCTACAATAGCTTACAAAAGCCAAGCACAGAAAATTGAAACTTAAATGTATCATAAGGTATTGAGGCCAGAAAATTTTAACTTTTTCTTCCAGGTCTTTACACGATAAACATAATCATAAGAGTGGTCAGTTTTCTTCACAAAAGACTTCATCTTCCTTGAGTATATGACAGGGCAGTGGGTGAATGCAGTTGCCATAGTAGAAATGCAGATAAAAAAGAAGGTAACAGCTTGGGTATCCCTATTATACTATGTGCATGGTATACAGTGCATATGAACCACCCAAAACTCTGTTGCTTATATTGAGCTAATGTTAATAAGTATTACTAGCACTTGAATCATTTTTTAAAACCCCAAGCTTATATTTAACCAGCTATTTCATATTATATATTATCATTTTGAGCAGCTCATGAAATTTACCTGAGACTCAGCAAAAGCTAATTTGTCAAGCCCATTCACATATCGTTGTTTTGCTTTCATGACAGCTTGTCGCCTCGTAGTCAAAAGCTGTCGAAATGAGGCAATAAGTTCAAGATAAGAGGTAGCAGTAACATAGTTATGCCGTCTTAACTCTTGCAAGAACCTAAAATAGAGGCAGATGACATTTCTTACTGTAAGTAATGGGCTTCACAAAGTAAGAGGTAAATCCAACACCACATTAACAACAAACATTTAAGAATAAAGGTTAATTTTATTTAGAGGCTGCTGAGTACTTGAACTTCATAAAATTCTAGAATTCTACACATAACCACATCCTAATTTCTTGTCTGCAAAATATTCAAATGGCAATGATATATTTAAGAATTATACATCAACAAAGATGTGTATCAAAGATGAACTACAGCAAGAAAGATATAAGCCTTTTTACTTGTTTCATAAGTCGGGGGATCTAACCATGTGAGGGACACAAGATATTGTGTAAGCTAGGGGAGTATGGTAGGAAAGAGAACTTCAAATAGGATAGCAAGGATGAGTCATCATTCCTTGTACAAATGTGTCACATGTCAGCTAAATAGTGTATGGCCAGAAGTATGACACTACTACACATACACATGGAAACAATGGAAAAAGCAATGATGTTTCATGGTGAGTATGAAGGTTAGATCCCACTGGTTGGTATAACTCTCCAAGCCAACCACGCTAGCTGGCTGTATGACTTTCATTATGCAGGCAATATACTATATTATATAGTGTATGAGCACTTGGGTTTATGTGCCTTTGAAATGAGGGTCTCAGAGATTAACAGGGGTAAAACATACTTTTGAAGTATCCATAGCCCACAAACAAGCTCCCCTTATCTGAGAACTTCCATCCAGTGCTCCAGGAGCAATGTTTCTTCTATGAAACTTGCCACCCTAACCATAGCTGATCAGACTAGGGTTGGACCCTAGACACAAATGAGGCTAATCACATTTTGGAACCAATTTGGAATTGGGAGCTGTAATTGTAAGAAGTAAACTTGAAAATTGACAGGCAGCTAGTTTCCTCCATATGCACTGGGAAGTAGAAAATTCAGTCCGAAAAGAGAAAGAAGAAAGCAGATGCCCAGACAGAAACAGGAATGAGAAACAGAGAAAAGGCATTTCTTAATTTATAATGGCTTTCTAATCCCTGCTTGTGATTACTTCTGCGATCCAGCTGTATTCTTTCCCTTAATCTTTGTGACACACCTCTGTATCTTTATGATAAATCCCCCTTTTTGTTAAAGCTAGATCAAGTAGCTTCTATTAATTGCAAGCTTAGGGTCTTAACTAATAATGAGAGAGAGAGAGATCTAGAAAAACATAGAAATTCTATCAAAATTTTGAGCTTCCACAGAGAGACATGTTTTAAAATATAAGGCATTATAAGAAAAGATGAAATAGTGCCATTTGCAACAACATGGATGGATCTTGAGATTATTATGCTAAGTGAACTAAATCACACAGAAAAAGTCGAGAACCATATGACTTCACTGATATGTGGTATATAAAACTGAAAGCAACAAACGAACAAAACAAACAAAGAAAGAAACAAAAATTCATAGACACAGACAATAGTTTAGTGATTACTGGAGGGTAAGGGGGGTTGGTAGATGAGGTAAATGGGGTCAAATAGGTGGTGATGAAAGAAGAACTGACTCTCGGTAGTGAATACACAATGTGATATATAGATGATGTATTACAGAATTGTACATTTGAAACCTATGTAATTTTACTAACCATTGTCAACCCAATAAAATTTAATTTAAAAAAATATATAAGGCATTATTGTAATTTAAAATTTTATTAATATTAACCTTTCTGAAAGATCCATAATAGAAGTGTGAAAGTGTTTGCAGACTGGAACTATCTCTCGTCGTTCAACCTCAGTAAGCTCCAGGGTTTCTAAGAATTTCACAGCTACAAGTTCAAGGGCATCTTCAGGCCATGGCTAAAGATAAGAAAAAAAAACTTAGGAAATTAAAGATGAGTAGTCCTACTCCAACTATAGAAGTTAAGTGTCTTCCTATGCAAGAAGAATTCGGGGTTGAAAAAATTAAACCTTAATGGGGAAAAAGGAATTAGGGGGGCTGAGGTCACAAATAAATCTATGAAAGATCTAATAGATATGTTTATATACTAAAATTAAAGAAGAGACAATATAAAGAAAAGGTCAATAATATTTTACATATTAGGTATACTGCTTTCCTAACTCTTCCACTTAAATGACTAGTCATCTCAAATTTAGCATGACAGTAGCAGAGGCTGCCTACCCAATATCTATCAGTCCCACTTCCCTAGGACTCCAATTTTAGTCTAGATAATAATATGCCTAGCTAAAAGATTACATTTCCTAGACTCCCTTGCAATTCAGTGGATAAAGATGTAGTTGTTAGGTAGGGATTTCAGGGAAGGCTCTTAAAGGGTTACATTGAGCTGGCATGTGTCCTTTTTGCCCTATTTTCCATTATTCTACTTCTTGCCTAAAACACAGATGTAAAAGTTGGAGCTCCAGTATCCACCTTAGACCATAAGGTGACTTTGAGGATGAAAACAACATGCTAAGGATATGTAAAGCAGAAAGAACTTGGGATTCTGATGACTTCGTTAAGCCACCAAAGCCCTAGTCTGCTTACCTTCAGATTTTTTTCTATATGAGAGGGAAAATCCTTATGTCTTTAGTTTGGGTTTCTGTTACTAGTAGTCCATCACAATTACTAACACTAAAAGCTGAACTCTTGATTTTCTTCCCCACAAATTCACTTCTTTTCCAGTCTCCCGTGTCTCAGTGAAATGGTTCGTTTTCCTGGAATATGCCAAGTGTGTTCCTGTCTCTGGGCCTTTGGGCTTGCTGTTCCCTCTAACTGAACCCTCCTTACCTGGAACTCCCTGTAGTTCACTCCCTTACATCTCTGCTCAAATGCCAACTTGCCAGCAAGGTCTTCCCAGAGCACTCTTTCTAAAACTGCATTCCTTCCCTCATTACACTTTCCCTTATCCTGAGTTTTTTTCTTACTACTTACCAACACCTGATATATATTTATTTTTTCATTTGTTTATTTTTTGTATGCCCTTCCCACTGAAATGTAAAATCCATGAAAGCAAGGACTTTGTTTTTCTCACCACTGTTATCTTCAATACCTAAAACAGAACTTGTCAATAAATATTTGAAATGTTTATTCAGTGAAATAATTTGTCAAGTAATTAATCTTCACTTTATTAGAATATTTTCCAAATTTCCTTTCATTTAGATTCAACAAGATGCTTATAAGTTTTTTCCTTTGTAGCAGATAATATGCATTTTTAAGATCAATTGTTTCAGTGTCTGACCCTCCTCCTGGTAAAATTCATACTTTTTGGATCAAGCACTCCACTAATCAAAAACTTTTAGGCACATATTGCCAATGTATGCATATTTATTAATAGATTATACTCATGTGCTATTATTGTACAAATATATTTATAAGCCTTAAAAGAGGCTTCTAAAGATTTATTATTAAGATCAGTGAATTTTTGTAAAAGGCCAGAATATAACATATATCATAGAAAATATTACGAAAGTTTATCTTTGTGTTCTGGGTGCTTCATTTTTTAATGACCTTGCTAATCAAGAAGGTTTAATACTATCTACAGCAGTTAAAATGTTTATGGCTAAAGTGGCAGTCTTACTGTGTCTTCAAACAAAGGAGATATATCATCATATATAATCACATATAATATGTCCAGAAGTAGGGTATTTCTGGGGTTGCTTAATTTAGAAGCTCTACCATGTCACTGAGGATCTAGCTTGTTCCATCTTTTTACTCTCCCATTCTCCATGCATTTTATTTCATGCTTGGGCTTGTCTCATAATGGTGACAAGCTGACTACTGCAGCTGACATTACATCCTTAAGCAACAAGGTTGAAAGACAGAAAAGGCCCTTTCCCTAACATGTAACTCCTTATATAGCAAAGAAAACCAAAAACCAAAAAACTTTTCCTCAAAGCAGTCTTTAACTAAGGACCTACTGGGAAGGACTGGGTCATGAATAGGTTCATATATAAACCAATTTATAGTAAGAAGCATGAGAACACCAATATTGATTTATGCCAACCAGGAATCAATCCCTGTATACACAGCTACATAAGGGGTGATATCCCAAACAAAATAAAAATTCTGTCAGCAAGGATGGAGTGAGTAGAAAATGACTGTTGATAGGTAACCAATAATATCCCCCATGCATAATAAGCTGATATTGCAAGGCATACTATACCCTGGGATAAGGTTTATTATTTAAACAGTTGATATAACCCCGTATTCCAAATAGCCTTCTGAAATTTGTTTTCACCAACATCTTGTCAGATCTTGTTAAGTAGTCATTGTTTTTGCCTCATAAAATGGTTGACACAGAACTCAAGCTAGCTCATGCTAGTTTATGCCATTTTCTTGCTGTCCACTTATAATTGCATTATATCCTCAATTTTCATTTTATTGTAAGAATCCCTCAGGGTACCTTGCATACCATCTATGACACATGGCCATACAAACTGAGTAAGGATGTCAATGTTAATCCATACAAAATATTTCATACAAAAATGAATATTCCAGTAAAATTCCTTCCCTTTTTCTTTGAATTGTTTTGGCACCCCTGGTAAGTGTAAACCCTACTTTGGAGACTAGAGATACACCTCAAAAGTCAGTGCCTTCCTGATGTGTAACACGTAGTGGTTTACACGCACTTCCTGAGTTCCCCAGACCCAGGCCCCAAACAACACCATCAGCTTCTCTGACACAAGTTCTATATCCGCACTGCTTCACTGTAAAATCTTTATTCCACTCTGTTATCTACTTACTCTCCCTTATCTACTTGCAACTCCCAGTTCCTTCTTTATAAATTTTCCCCAACAAGTAAGAATTACTTATAATAGAATAGAAATTCTCGTGGTTATGAAAAAGATATCCAAAAGTAGTAGAATTGTACTTATAAGATTTCACAAAAGAAAAACTATGGTTGGACAGGCTTTGTTTATTTGGTTTTGGTTTTTGGTTACTTAATGGGAGCAATATTAAGATATGGTTTGCATAAAGCAAAACTGTTTCACACAGTTTTTATTGTTGTATAAACACTAATACATCCACTAGCTGAAACATATGTGCAACCCTCAAAAGGGCAGAATTAGTTTTTTAAACATGCAATTGATAAATATGCAAAAGAGAATAAAACAAATTAGTATCAGAAATCTATTTCTAAAAGAAATTATCCAGGGTCAATCTATAGTGCACATTCTATTGGGCATAAAACAATTAAATAGAAGGTGCCATGAGCTATTGTTTTCAATTCATAAATAATTGTCTTATTCAGACAGTAACAATTTGCCTTAAGGTTAAATGAGGTGGCAGCCTTCATCATTTGGTGTTGGGACGACTGAAATTGCCACTCAGTTGGTCTTCTTGTCTCTTGTTTTAACCCCACTCCAAATCATTCACCATACAGTATTTTTCCCCTAAAATACAGATTAGCTAAATATATGTTAATCCCTATGCAACATCTTTGGTATAAAACCAAATTCCTAGGCATATTTGCAAATTCCTTTATAATCTGTCACCAACTCAAAGCTCCAATTTAACTCCTGCTGCCCTCATTACCAGTCAGCTATACCAAACTATTTACAGTTGCCCACTGTTTTATCTTTGCACATAGTATCCCCATGTGATGGTTAATTTTATGTGCCAACTTGACTATGTGCCACAGGGTACCCATATATTTGGTCAAACATTACTCTGGGTGTTTCTGTGAGGTGTGTTTTTGGATGAGTTTAATATTTAAATCAACAGACTGAGTAAAGCAGATTGCTCTCCCTAAACTAAGTGGGCCTCATCCAATCAGTTGAAGGCCTGAAAAGAAGAAAAAGGCTGTTCCTCCCATGAGTAAGGGGAATTCCTTCTGCTTGACTGGGACATCAGTTTTTTCCTGACTTTGAACTTGAACTGAAATATCAGCTCTTCCTGGTGTCAAGCCTGCTGGCATTCAAACTGGAAATACACCATCAAATATCCTGGGTCTCCACCTAGCAAACTTGTCTGCCTCCATAATCATGTGAGCCAATTCCTTATCACACACACATACACGCATACCTTTACATACATACATATATATATATATATATATATATATATATATATATATATATATAAAACAATGCATTCTGTTGGTTGCTAATATACCCCTCCTATATAAAATTAATTCATTTTCATACTTCAGAGATTCACTGTCTTAAGTACACCTTTTACACACCAAGATTATGGCCTTTTTATATAACTGTGACTATTCATTTGCTGATTGTCTTTTCTGTCTTCCAGTCTAGAGTGTAACTCCTTGTGGGGTTCATGTAGTCTTATCAGTCCCTGGTGCCAAGCACTATGCATATTAATGAAGCTTGAATAAAATTTCAGTAAAATTCCAAAAGATTTACTTGCCTTCCTCCCCCCAAATTACAAACCTGAAACCAGTCAATGGTACAGCAATTGATGAGTGATGGGAACTGTCTCAAGCGATTTCGAAAGGCATCTCCAATAGGGCTAAAGGCCACTACAACATGAAGATTATCTTTGCAGCGATTCACAAAGAAAGCAAACAGAGCTAAGGGACTAAGTTCATCATGTTTACTGCCAGCCTGAGCTATAGGACGAACACCCTAGGGAATATCAGAAAATAGAAACCTGGTAAATAAAAATAGATAAGCTGATGATGAAATTAGTAGACATTGGAATATTAAGAACTTTTATTACTCCCCTTGTAAATATCTTTATATTTTTGTTTTTATATCAATAGAATGGCTTTGATACAGCTTGTACTTAGAAGACTTCTTCCAACTCCTTAATTTTATAATTTAAAAACAGATATCTGCCAAGAATTTAACTTATAATGATACTCATAAAAAGTCCACTATGATACATTCAACATTGTTTTTAAGAGGAAACAATCTAAACAACTAAAGCATCCAGTTAAAAACATTATAAAATATAAAACATCCATACATTTTAATTTTATTCAACCATTAAAAATAATGAGGTGTATCAACATATGTGCTATGACAAGATCAGCAGGACAAAATAAGTGAAAAAAAAAAACAAATTGTGCAACAGTATGTATAATATGATCCTCTTTGTTAAATGAAAAAATATATATGTGCATATGTGTGAGTACATACGCACCTTTTTATGGAAGCAATCACAAAGAACTATTAGTAGTGGTTACTTTTGGTGAGAGGAAATTAAAGGAGAGTGTGAGAAGGAGACTTTCACTTTATTTTGGACATTTTTCTTGGCTTATATCATTCTTTTCTTCTTTACCTACATCAGAGGGTTGTTGAGGGATCAAATGAGTTATGACATGTGTACACTTAGAATAGTTCTTACCACATAGGTAAGTGCCTATTAGCTTTTATTTTATATCCTACCTTTGTCCTTGTTCAGAGCACAAAAGATTTCATAGTCAAGTATCTTATAAATAGATTTAAAAGTTTTTCGATATAAGGAGTGGTTACAATGATCACATAATTCCTATTGTCACTACAATAAATTTATTTCTAGAAGAATTCTCTACTATAGATATGCTCTGCTTTATGTGATAGCTATAGTCATGGAAAATTATAAATTGGCTTTATATATGTATTCTGACACTAATTCTCAAATTATGATTATTATGATTGGTGTCAGTTTATAAAATTATGTTCAGGTGGTCTACCTGCATTAAATATGAGTTAATAGTGGGACATTCATATAGGGAAAAATAATACATGGTTGTAACTGTAGAAGAAGAGTTCAAGAAAGGGTCAAGGGCCGGCCGAGTGGCACGATGGTTAAGAACTGGCTTGGGACACCAGAGGGACCCGGTTCAGATCCCACATATGAGGGCCAGTGACACTGCCCTCTACAGCTAAGATGCTGAACAACAGCTCAACCTGGAGCTGGGCTGNCAAAAAGACAGCAACTTGTCTGTTCCCCTTCCCCCAATTCCCCAGTGCTGTTCCCATCCCCCAATTCCCCAATAAAAATCTTTAAAAAAACAAACAAACTAGGAAAGCTAGCTTTTAAAGAAATATTATCTAATCATAATCATGTGAGTTTTATCATTATTTTTATAGTGTTTCTTTTTGTAATTATTATATAAAACTAATAGAAAAATATAATATAAATAAACAGATTTAACTTATTGACATAAGTATCACTAGATTTAAAAGTCATATTCAAATACACAATGTGTGAGGCTGTTTTCAAATATGAAACGTTAGATTTTCCAAAATACTAATTATATGCCAGGGATATTACAAAAACCCTTACATACACCATATAATTTAATCATAACAACCTATGAAATAGGTGGTATTATCCGAATTTTACAAATGAAGAATAGAGAACATTAGCAAGATGACAGACTAGTAAGCTCCAGACCCTCTGTCTCCCATGAAAACACCAAATTAGCAATGTACAGAACAAAATATCTTTGCAAGAATGCTAGAAACTAATTAAGAGGCTAAGCACCCCCCATGAGTACATAAAAAAGAGAAAGGACAATACAAGGAAGGTAAGAGAATTCATTACATTTTTCTCACCTTGCTCCTCCTCTCACCCAGCATAGAATAACACAGTCAGGAAAATACCACCAATTCCTGACTCCTCCCTTAGGACAAAAGAAATAAAGTGGAACTAGCATCCAGTATTCTGGCTTGTCTGAGGGCTACCTAAGGCACTGCTTTCTATCTTGACTGATTCAGGGCACTGATGGGAAAAATGGCCTAGTTTAGAAATGAGGTTGGAGGTTCGGAAAAAAATGGCGGCAGTGAGGTGGGCTCCCTTAGTTCTCCCCTGGAAAGCATAGCAATTTGAGCAGCTGGAGCGCAGCAAACAAACCTCTACCAAGCACGCTGAGCAGCGAAGGGACTCCCATGCTGAGTACTTAAAGATGGGCAGACAGGGCGAGTGGGGGAAGAGGGAGGCGAGGCGCATGGAGGCACAGATCACACCAGCGGCTGCTGAGGCTCGGGGCCTCAGAGAGCAGATCGGAGCATTCCCGCAGCTCGCTCCCTGCACCTGCAGCCTGCGCTAAGGCAGAAACCTCAGGCCGGGCGCCAAGCAGAATGGAGAGAGGAGGGCGTGAGCAGAGGCACAGTCCGTCGGAGCCCGCGACTGCGGAGCTGTGGGAATTCAGGACAAGGCGAAGTGGTTTGCAGCGCCAAGGCAGGCTCAACCTCTGGGCTGACCGTTGCGGGGAGTGCAACAGGAGCCCCAGGACGCTCAGTTTCGGAAACAGAAATCTCAAACCAGCAAGCAGGAGAAGAGGGAAGCAAGAAGCGTGGAGGTGCAGCCCACACCTCACAGCTGTGGAGACAGGAGCTGCTTTGCCAGGGGGTGCTCCTGGAGAGCAGCAGGGGCTCTGCGGAGCGTTGGAGGGGGCTTTTTTCTTTTTCCTATTTGTTTTTCCTCTTTTTTCCCCTTTTCTCTCAGATAGGAAAAATAAACTGCAAAGATAAGTGCACACCCCCATCCTCCCTCAGAAACCTTGGCCCCCTCCCTGCCACAGCCTGAGGCTGACTCCTGAAGAAAGGAGTAAGTCAGAACAAAGGTGCTTCCACTCCCTGGGGGTTGAGTAATTTATATGAGAAGAGGCTGCAGGTGGGAGCTACTAAACACGTTGTACCCACCCCCACCTCTTCTGGGCAGCTTGGGAAGCAGAACAACTTTGGCTGCTGAGACACAGGAAGGCCTACCAGCAGCTCTGAAATCTCCACCCCCTACCCGCCAACAGCCCCAGTGGCAGGAGTACCTGAAGACGCACATCCAGTCCTCTGGCTGCGCAGAAATCAGAGTGCCTCTGGACAGGCAGGAGCAGAAATAACACTGACTTTGTAAAAAAAACTACCAATCACACCTCATAATGCTACTCATCTAAAATAGACGTGCATTACCAAGCTCACTCTAGGTGCCAGGCGGCTGGCTCTGCCCCCACAAGACACNCCAGCAGCCAACGTGAGCGGCCCTCAAGCCGCTGTGAGCGGCCATCCAGAAGCTGGCGACTGATCTGCCTCACCCGGGAAGAGCGCAATGATGATGCCAACTTGGGCCAGTGAAGCAACGTCCTCCACAACTAGACTGAAGAACAAAACAACAACACCTTGTCTGTTTCCCTTCCCCCAATTCCCCAGCACTGTTCCTATCCCCCCAATTCCCCAATAAAAATCTGAAAAGAAAAAAAAAAGGTCAAGATGGCAATATAAATATAGGGCTTATTTACATAGAAATAATGGTTAATGCTTGTAGAGTAGATAAGCTGTCTGTGAGGCACACACATGCTTTGGGAGCAGGAATGATTCAGGAATGTAAAAAAAAAGTAGTTACTGAAGGAATAATTAGGGAGACAGGATACAAACTGGGTGAAATTTTACAGCAGTCAAGAAAAAGCAGAGTTTAAAAGAAGGAATCATTAATTATGTAAAATATGAATGAGAATTTTAAAAAGGAACTGAGAAATACCACTAAATGTGGTAAATAAGAAGTCACCACTAAATTGAAAAAGACGTTGCAATAACTTAATTCTGCAAGGAGTACAAATGGAACAGTGGAAAAAGTAGTCTGGAAACGTAGGCCAGAGGCTGGAACTCTGATGAAGTAAGACAGATGTACTGAGTCTATAAGATGTGCCCTCTAGGCAGTGCCAGAGCCAAGCTATAGAGAAAGGTCAGTTATCAGGAGTGAAGTTTAAAGTAAAATCTTCATCAGAGGGAGATAAGCAAAGTCCAAGACAAGATCTTCAAAGTGGGATGCACAGGATTGTGTACAGTGTGGACAGAAAATAACAGAACTTTCTATATTACCTTGTATATTTAAAAAATCAATAATATAGCAAGTAGAAACAGGGATGCATTTCAGTACCCCTGAGTTCTGACCATGGCTATTTCCTTGGAGATAAACTGATATGGTGTCCCTAGGCTTGGGTGGAATGTGAAGAAAAAAAGTTCTTCAGGCCACTTTTGGATCATAGCATAAAATAGTAGTGAAGCACTGGAAAAGTTTTGCAGCAAAGTGATGAGAAGGAAAGACAAGCAATAGCTAACGTGAGCAGAAAAGCCTAGCAAAGCTAAGGAAATTCCACTCCCCAAAAGGTGACTATTCCTTGAATGGGACTATGGGGGGGGGTGTGAGTTTATCCTATCAATTAGGAGAATCACCATTCTTCAACAGCCTTGGCTACATCCTTGACGTTACCCAGATAAAAGCAGACAACTTGGGATCATTTCCCTCCCCCCCCCTCCAGCCCCACCCCAGGCTACAAACTGGTAATGTGCCATTTACTGAGGGCTTTTTAAGTGCCTGACACTCCGTAAATTCTTTGTTTCATTTGATCCTCAGACCTTACAACAACCCTACGCAGGAGGAGCTATTATGTGTATATGTTATTTCCATTCCATACAAGAGAAAAGCAGGGTGATTGAACTACTAGGGTCAATCCATTTTACTCCAGATGTTATCACTGGAGGCTGGAATAAAGCATCCAGATGTGAGTGATATATTCTGTGGGTAAAAGTAGTTGTCGCAAAGAGAAAGGGGCAAAAATTACTAACAGAGGTCTTGTATGGGAATATCTTAGAAATGGGGGTCAAAGGACAGTACATCTGAAGTAGTGGGTGCTTCAAATTGTGGTTTTTTGTCAATTAAATCACAAAGCATGACACTCGGATATGTTAGAATAGTTAAGACAAGTAGCTTTTGAAAAATTTTAACCAGTGGTAAACTATTAAAACTAATCAAGTAGTGCTTTAAAGCTATGTTTTCTCAGATCACTGTAAGCGTGACTTAATTTGACATCCGTAATCACTCATAAAATATGCTACATAAGATCAAACTGATGAAACAAACTGCCATCATTATGAAATAAGAAATTATACAATAAAAATTCTGTCTCATAACTGTAGTAGAGACAATTTAAAATTCATCAAAAAATATACTAAAATAATATACTTTCAGTTTTTAATTACCAAAACCCTCTGCACAAGCTATATTTATCCTGAAGAGCAGAGAAAATGTTTCAAGATAAGAAAATTTCTGTGCTGGGAGAAGCACTCCCTAAAAAGCATTTACCTCCATCACTTCTTGTTTCTCATCTGCTGCAAAAATGTTAGGTACTTCTCCAGTATTGAGCACACTGTCAATATCCTCTAGAAAAGCTTCCTCTTTAATCTGAGTGTCCGTGATTAAAAAGACTGTCTTCTGGCCCTTCATGCCAACATTCCTTAGTAGGACCTTAAAATAAAAATGTACTTATAAGCAGAATATGGTAGACATTTATTGGTTTCCCCCCCCCTTTCCCCTTCTTTTGATAACAATGTCTCAATTTTATATTATAGTAGTACTTCTCCCCATTTCTGGAGGGGATGTCAATCAGGGCCTCCATTTTGCTCATCTCCTGGGTAGGAGACCCCAACTGGTCAGAGTTTCCCAAGCCCCTAGACATAGTCATTGATTCAGAGGAAGGCATATGACTTAAGTGGGTCCAATCACAGTTTTCTGGGACTAAGAGGGACTTGAAAAGAGAATCTTTGTCATTCTAAGGTGGTGGAGGATATAAATGCCAGTAATTTAGAACTACTAGGGGCCAACCGGATAGCCACATAGAATGCGTCTGCTGGAGAAGGAAGCCAAATGGAAGAGAGTAGATCCAGGAGGCAGAAAGAGTAATTACTGAGGACTTAATTTAAGCCTTAAATTCAGCCTTGTCAAAAGTCTCTCTACCTTTGGACTCTTCAGTCAAGTAAGACAACTCTGTCTTTTGCTTAAGCTAGTTTGAGCTGTTTTTTGTTTTGTTTTGTTTTGTTTTGGGTTCTTTTCGTCAATTGCAACCAAAGAGTCCCAACTATACAAAGATATGGACTCAGTGATATGCTGGAGCTGATTTATTTAGGGTGGTAGAACTGATTGTGAAAATTTCACGGAACTTGTGAGCAGACTGTTCAACACAGCCAGCATTAAAAATTCAATTATATAGGGGCCGGCTGAGTGGCTCAGTTGGTTAAGAGCTC